GGCAATGGCCGGATGCATAGCTGAGGAAGGAGAAGAAGGGACAGACTAGTGGTGGTGGAAAAATGGGCTTTGACGATATTCAATGGATAAAAATAATGGGTTTTAGAATGGGGGGGGGGAGGGGGTAATTAAAATGCATCTTGTCCGCTCGCGCCAAACTCTCTAGCTACGCCTCTGTCACAGGCACAGAAAGGGAACCGAATGGGGTTGCCCACCAACGTGAAAATTTTTAATGATATGATTGGGGGGGGGGGGCGGCATTTACGGATAGCTGCTGGGTTTGTATCCTTAAAGGGAGTGCGTAATTAGGGTCTGTGGAGTCATCTCCCCAGAACATGTTTGATTATTTCAAAATCAAGAGGTTCATTTTCGAGTACACCGTCACTCAGTGTTTCTGTTGATCGGGGAAAGGAATTTTGTTTAAGCTTCTGGGGGAGCCATTATGGCGCCCAGTGCCATACATAAACTGAATTCACTCCAGTTGGGGCGCGTCCCAGACTAATCATTCGGCAAACTCTTATACTAAACCCGTACTGTCTCGCGGGCTTAAGGAGCGTGACGTAAGCCCTTACAAGAGGATGTCACATTGAATTAGTAGAAAATTAGGAGAATGGATTCGGCACAGTGATCGAAATATTATTTCACATAACTGTTTTATTAGCTTAATGTAGGATTCTCATCTAAAATTTAAAAAAAAATAATAATTTAAATGCTCGCAAATAGATGTGACAGATTGTTTATTATTGCGATATAAAACAAGATAAAATCAGTTGGGAATCTAATAAATATAAGATAAGATTTTTTTTAAAAACTCAATTACTTCAGGAAACTTTGTTACGAAAGAAGCACATTTAAAGAAAGCACAAACGAAAACTTGTGTGTATTTTTTTTGAAAGCTTGATGCCGTTATACAAATTATAATTAACATAAATCCCCCACATCATGCCTTTAGGATGAAGTATAATTTTAAAATAGATTCCACATGTTTGATACATGATGAGAACTGAATTTAAAATTCTAGAACTTGGTATTGACGTACAGGTGGTTTAATATCGTGCTTATAATGTCTTTAAACGTGTCAAGTTTGCAAAATAGAAAAACAAAGAAATTTTAAAAAAAAATATTTAAATAAAAATACCAATATATGCGAACAACAGGAAGTAATACTTCGGCTAGTAATCGGGCGCGGCCAATTTTCGGAAAATTGCGATATTTATAATCGAATATTTCAAGCCTCTAACAAGATTAGCTTAAAATATTCGGATCGTCGAATATATCAAGCGCAGGAATATTTCATAGATTTCACTTGTTGTAATCGGTTAATAACAACACTTAGCATTAAAAAAAAAAATCCTTAACAAATAAATTTTCTTTTTTCTAAATGAACACATTTTGCACAAGTGCCTTACCCCTTCCTGCCCCCCCCCCCAATAAAATCTTTCCAGAAAGATTTTAAAAAAACACTTGTTTTAATAGGTTAAAAACAACACTTAGCATTAAAAAAAAAAATCCTTAACAAATAAATTTTCTTTTTTCTAAATGAACACATTTTGCACAAGTGCCTTACCCCTTCCTGCCCCCCCCCCCCAATAAAATCTTGCCAGAAAGATTTTAAAAAAACTGTCTGACTCAACACTTGCAGAGAAAGACGAGACAAGTGGAATGCAATTAAGCAATGCTAATAGCGGATCCGCCATATTTTATGTGTCAAAAGTCATGATAAGTACCGGCACTTGAAATTATTATTCCTATTATTGTTTGGTCTCCTGACGCGATGTTACTTCATCATGTCCTTACGCATTCTCTTCTGTTTTATTATTTCTGTTTCCTGTTCTTGTGTCAAGATCATTTTTAACTTTAATGTTTGATTTATAGCCCATCATTAGATGATGTGCAATGTAATATCAGAATGGGATATAAGCAAAGTCTTTCAAGGCTGAGCTTATCAAATAAGTGTAGAGATTTAGCATTTTAATATTATCTACTTTTAGCTGGTTCATATTACCTAATTCACATTTTAATATGAACTACATCCAGCAGGTTCATGTTAACTAATTCACATTTTAATATGAACTACTTCCAGCAGGTTCATGTTAACTAATTCACATTTTATTATGAACTACTTCCAGCAGGTTCATGTTCACTAATTCACATTTTAATATGAACTACTTCCAGCAGGTTCATGTTAACTAATTCACATTTTAATATGAACTACTTCCAGCAGGTTCATGTTCACTAATTCACATTTTAATATGAACTACTTCCAACAGGTTCATGTTAGCTAATTCACATTTTAATATGAACTACTTCCAACAGGTTCATGTTAATTAATTCACATTTTATTATGAACTACTTCCAGCAGGTTCATGTTAGCTAATTCACATTTTAATATGAACTACTTCCAACAGGTTCAAGTTAGCTAATTCACATTTTAATATGAACTACTTCCAGCAGGTTCATGTTAACTAATTCACATTTTAATATGAACTACTTCCAGCAGGTTCATGTTAACTAATTCACATTTTAATATAATCTACTTCCAGCAGGTTCATGTTAACTAATTCACATTTTAATATGAACTACTTCCAGCAGGTTCATTCGTATTCATTCAAATTTTGACTTACTTGCTTCAATCCTTTTTTTCCCTCCAGTTTAAAGTTTACAAATTAGTTACAGGCACAACAGAAAATGGTTTCAAACCCAGAATTGATGTCTTTTATTGAATAGACGATTGTAATCAGTTCTATCATTTAGCAACAAAATGAAATAATCAATTTTTAAAAAATGGTATAGGTTTAACAGAATGAATGTGTTAAATAGCGGGTCAACGTTCAAAGACATTGTAAGAAACTTATTTATATTTTGGTGCGAATTTTTAAGAAAAATATTCTTTAAAAAAGATATAAGTGCACTAGGATTACCCTGAGTTTTAAGAATAGTAATCTTCCTTACCCGATTTAATCATTACTATTGTAAGTTGGGTTGTTGTTGTTTTTTTTTAAATATTTAGTTGTACGGATTTTTTAAATAGAAAAATTTGAACTTTTTTCTTTCTCGCTGGAATCAGTTGATAACATAATGAACTTGAGCATGAGGAAACAGAAGCAAGGAGCCAAAGAGATTTTTTTTTCTTTTTTTTTTTTTTTTTGCGGTGGTATCGCTTGAAGCTAACCGGCTTTCCTGATGTCCACAGCGCAGTCGTCGTGAGAGAGAAATCATCACAATAACAAAAGAGAAGCATGTGTGCAGTAGTGAGTAAAGCATTATCATTATTATTTGCAGACACGTTTTGGTCATAAGTTCTACTTTCTTGTTATGCCGATTTACCCCTTCTGGGACGTAGGCCGTCCACAAGAATTTTCCATTTCATCTCGGTCTTGTGCTTTCCTTTCCAGTTGCTTCCAGGTGTATCCCATAGCCTGCGTGTCTGCCTCTAGCTTGCGTCTCCATGCATTCTGTGGCCTTCCTCTCTTTCTTTTTCTATGTGAATTTCAACGCTGTCTGGTGATGCTATCTAATGGCTTTCGAAGAGTATGCCCTCCTTATTTTCTTTGTGATGTCATCGTCAATGGGCACCTGGCAGTAGATATTTCTAGTAGATCTTTGTTGGTGATGATAGTTAGCCATTTGATGTTCAGGATCTTTCTAAGGCATGTGTTTATGATGGTCTGCACTTTCTGCGTAATGCTCGCTGTTGTTTTCCAAGTTTCTGCTCCATATAATAGGACTTTTATGACCATACAGTTTAATGAATTTTTAAGTTGAGTTGTAAAATATGTATTCAAATTATTGACACAGATCAAGGGCGTTCTTTCTTCTGTAAACAACATTTTTAAATAACGCAAAGCCAACAATCATGCCTTCAAACAGTTCATCCGGCTCCGAGTATCTTCTCTACAAACAATTGAGAAGGCCCTTTGCACTTTATTGCTTTTTTAAAATTAAAACCCATTTCAAATACAGAAATTTTGGGTTGTACTTCATGCTTATAAGGCATTTCCAAATATTTTGTAAATCATGTCATAGGCCAACTCTATCGCTTTCTAGATGAAAAAAAAAAACAGTTTAAGTTATACATCTCTCTCTTCATTTAACATTGTTTTAAAATTGCTTGTGTCATCTAAATCATTCATTGTCAAACTATCTTACAGTCATTCGCCCGCTTTCTTCATTATAAAAAACCTACTATCATTGGGATTTCTAATCGCTGCTTATTAGTGAATTTACAGACTACCTTTCCATAATTCAATTAAATATAATATGTTTCTAAACTTCTAAACGCATGCATTGATTTAGTGTTCTGCCGCCATCAGCTCGTAGCGTGAGCTCCTGTTCTCCACTGCGGTGACGGAATCTTCTGTCGTGAAACTCCCTGTCTTCCTGACGTGACGCCACCAGAGGTACACCAGGAGGCCAATGGTGACGGCGGCGATCAGTACGACACAGATCAGGCCGGCCAGCAGGCCGTTGTTGACCGAGCTGCGCCCAGAGCTCTTCATCACAGCGACCGTCTCTGGTTCTGTTGAAATTTTTTTTTTTTTTTTTTAAAACGTTCGTAAGAAATGAAGATTTGATTACTCGTTCAATTACTCGACTGCTTAAAAGATAAAAAATCTAAAGCAATCAGATCAAAGAAATAGACTGGCAGACGTCACACATAAGCCACACAAATAACGCGTTTAAAGAAAAAAAGGGGATACAATTATTATCGTATTTTTTATTATAACTTCTAGTCGACTGTCTTAGTGACCAGATCATCAATGTTATAATAAAAGTAGTGATAATCAACATTACCTTATAAGCAAAGCTACAGGTCAGGCACACGCACCACAATTCAATCGTTTCAACAGGCAGAGGCGTAGCGAGGGGGGGGGGGCAGGGGAGACAGATGTCCCCCGGGCGCCAGCTAGTTAGGGGCACCAAAATGTGCTTTGATATTATTTTATTGATGGAAATAATGGGCGTGAGAGTTGAAAACAAAGAAAAGGGGGCGCTTTAAAATGGATCTTGTCCCCGGGCGAGAATCTTGTCCCCGGGCGCGAAACATCCTCGCCACGCCTCAGTCAACAGCCAATGATTTACAATACATAAAGTGTGAAGAAAGTGAATATTTTTAATAATCGCTTTTACTACAATTTAACAAAGATTTATTTTTTTTTTAAAGCTTCGATTAATTTTTTTCAAGCAGGTTTTAGTTCTACCTTGGGGTCCATGTATCAATGTTTTCATGTTGTTATCTTGCCCTGAGCCATAACTCCTGCTTAAAACTTTTTTCTTCAGTTTTATTTCTGATAAGATTGCAATTGTTCTCAAATTTAAACTCAAGAACAACCGGAAAAAGTGTGTGTGTGTTTCTTTTTTTTTTTTTTTTTTTTTTTTTTTTGGGGGGGGGGGGGGGGATGTGGAATCTTCCATCCGACCGTTTCAGGAAACGTTACATTTCTTAAAGGTGGCCATTCAACTGTAGCCAATCATAACAGCACATTTGAAAGTTAATACCCACCCGTGGAGTTATAGCACATCACTCCATCATGTCCGTCCTTACATCCCACGAGACAGGTGCCAGTGACGTGGTGACACGTTTGCCGTTGGGTGATGTTGACCTCTGCACAGAATCGGCTGCAGTTTTGAGTGCAGTCCTGGCCGTAAGATCCATCGTGGCATTCTAGAAACAATTAAATGTGTCAATTCATTCGCGCCTACTGTCAAGTGTACGTGAGAGCTGTGCTGTCGTCGTGTCCCATCTCTCGTCGGCGTGTTCAAAAGTTTCCAACATTATTTTAACGTGTATGTCATAAGTAAATGCTGATTTTAGTTATTTGACACTGTGAAATGGCTTGTGTCAGGGGCGTGTGTCATCTATATCATTCATTGTCAAACTACGTAATAAGTAAAGTTTGTTCAAGTGTTGGTGAGTAACGAATCTCCCATTTTTTTTTTTTAAGGATACTTCTTTTTGTGACACATGACACAAAAATTTGATGGGATGCAATCCTAACACGTGACTGCCACTAATGTTGTCTTTCGTTTGGGTCAATGCAGACATCGGTTTTTATGCACCAGAAGAAGAAAACAAATCTAAACAAAGTTGTATTGCTAAACATTATTTCTGAAAAGCTTTCCTTAAAGAAGTCAGTTCAATTGAGACCCGGGACCTGAAAGGAGAACACAGAAACAAAACCCGACACTCAAACACATCCACCCAACAACGACAACAAAGAACCCGAAAACTGCAATGCTGTTTTCATCATCATAGCAATGCAATGGTAACTATTTTATTAATGTGCAGATAATCTGCTAAAAGAAAGAAAATCTAAACTTTCGTCTCAAGATGAATCCAGTTTCGATGTTTGATTTTAATTTTTTACCTAAAAAAAAAAAATCTCTAAGAATCAACATGGAAGCTGTAGCTATTGAACACAAACGGAAGCTGACCGTATCGAAGTGTAACGTTCGATTACCCATTTAGGACATAATTTTTGAGTCATTGAGTGTTGCGGAAGCAACTGATATGCCGTTGGAACTTGATTCGAATGTTCAAATTTTTTTACATTTTATTAATGTATATGATGGTTGCCTTTTTACGCTAGAGAAATTTATTAGATGTCTTGTTTTTTTATAAATTGCCTAATTGTAAAATGTTGCCTTGGTTGAAAAGATGTTTTTATTTATGTCCTGAATATGAATTGCCATTTATTTGGATCAAATATAGCATCTTATCTTATAGTAGTAGACAAAAATTATGGATTTTATTTTGTCATTGACTCAAATTAAACATTGAATCTTGGTGGCATAAACCAGTTATTTCTTCTCCGCTTCTTGTCTAATGTGTGAGTCTCCCATCGGCACTAAACAGATCAATGAAATGATACAATGAGTAAATTAGAAGTTATCCAGAACTTAATTCAGACAAATATCTACCCACAGGCATAACCACAGGCATAGCCACAGGCATAACCACAGGCATAACCACAGGCATAACCACAGGCATAGCCACAGGCATAGCCACAGGCATAACCACAGGCATAACCACAGGCATAACCACAGGCATAACCATAGCCATACCATAGGCATAACCATAAGCATAACCACACGTGGTAACTGTTGCTTAGGTTCACTTGCTTGTTAAATGATTAACCTTCTTTTCAAAACACGAAGCTAGCGGTTCACTTACGTTCATGACACAGGGGCTGCGTGAATCCAACTCTGCACCTAAGACACTGGCCTGTCTTCACGTCACACTCACCGTTGTGACAATGGGAGCTGCAAACCATCGCACAGTTCGGGCCCCAACGGTCGGGTTCGCAATCTGAGATTTAGAAAAGTTTTTTTCTGGATGTTAAAAATAAATTTAATGATCCCAAAACCGATGGTAGTGTTTTACAGTAAGGCCAGGGAGGCCTGCTGAAAAAACAAACAACAACAACCACACTATTACCGTGTTTCATCGAAAATAAGACCAACCAGAGACCAAGCCCCCAGACGAATGAATGCCTACCGGTATGTAAACAGAACCCGAGACATTGCCGAGCCTCCAATCGCAGCACACCGAATACCGTGAGATGAGAGGAAGTTGTGTCCTAGGCGAATCTCGACAATTAAATACGCCATCAAATGGGTGGTGTCTGAATAGTCTCTTCGCTTTTGTATGGGACCCGAAACTGTAGGGATCCAAACTGTCGGTATTCAAACTGTAGGGATACAAACTGTAGGGATCCAAACTGTAGGGATACAAACTGTAGGGATCCAAACTGTCGGTATTCAAACTGTAGGGATACAAACTGTAGGGATACAAACTGTCGGTATTCAAACTGTAGGGATACAAACTGTAGGGATACAAACTGTCGGTATTCAAACTGTAGAGATACAAACTGTAGGGATACAAACTGTAGGGACCCGAATAGTAGGGACCAAACTGTTGGGACCCGAATAGTAGGGACCAAAACTGCAGGGTTCCAACCTGTGGGGACCCAAACTGTAGGGATCCAAACTGTAGGGACCCAAATGTAGGGATCCAAACTGTTGGGATCCAAACTGTAGGGATCCAAACTGTAGGGATCCAAACTGTAAGGATCCAAACTGTTGGGATCCAAACTGTAGGGACCCAAACTGTAGGGATCCAAACTGTAGGGATCCAAACTGTAAGGATCCAAACTGTAGGGATCGAGACTGTAGGGATCGAGACTGTAGGGATCGAGACTGTAGGGATCGAGACTGTAGGGATCGAGACTGTAGGGATCCAAACTGTTGGGAGCCAAACTGTAGGGACCCAAATGTAGGGATCCAAACTGTTGGGATCCAAACTGTAGGGATCCAAACTGTAGGGATCCAAACTGTAGGGATCCAAACTGTTGGGATCCAAACTGTAGGGACCCAAATGTAGGGATCCAAACTGTAGGGATCCAAACTGTAGGGATCAAACTGTAGGGATCCAAACTGTAGGGACCCAAACTGTAGGGATCCAAACTGTAGGGATCCAAACTGTAGGGATCCAAACTGTAGGGACCCAAACTGTAGGGACCCAAACTGTAGGGATCAAGACTGTAGGGATCGAGACTGTAGGGATCGAGACTGTAGGGATCGAGACTGTAGGTATCGAGACTGTAGGGATCGAGACTGTAGGGACCCAAACCGTAAGGACCAGAACAGATGCTTTTCTTTTCCATGCCTGGAATCCCAGCTGCTGAAGATCAGCAACCACATCATCCACATCATCCACATCATCCATCCATCTAAGCCTAGGTCTGGCTTTGAGCCGCTTTCTCCTGGGAGATTTAATAGTGCACCCTCTTCAATTCTTTGTCATCTTTTTCTAAGTGTCCAGACCCCAGCATAGCCTGCCCTTTTTCATTTCTTGTTACTAGCGCGGGTCCCAATATAGACTTAACATTTCTTGGTTGGTTCGTATTCTCCATCCATATTCATCCTTTGTTAGTCCATATAATTTCTGGGGAAATTTTCACTCCAATGTTTTCAATAGTTTTTTTTTTCCCTTCATTTTAGCACTTCTCTATCTTAAGAGTAATTGTTTATTTTCATTGGTGCGGGGGTCAAGGGGACTATATTAGCTCCTACCATGCAATTTTTTTTTGTTTTTTTAATACTCACGTCACCCACTGGAGTGGAAAGCAATAAATTAACAGACTATAATTTATGAACCCAAAGGCGTTTCTCGATTTTAGTTACGTGACGATTAAAATAACATTTAAAAAATACATAGGTTAAAATAAAATATCCTACAAAATCCTCACGTATCATGTTCAGTTGACACGATCGAATTCCTTTAAAATTAGCTTCAAATTGGCGTCAAATTTTTGTAGGCACGCACTATTTAGTGCGTGGTTCCTTCTTTTGTACAAAAATAGCAATTTGAAAGTTGTGACAAGGCTTCATACAAAAATTGCATCAAAATTTGACGCGAAGTTGATAGTGTGTGCTGAGCGTAATTCTAGAAGATAGGGTTTAATTTGAAAATTTTTCCACTTCATGTATTTGAGAATAGATACAATGCCGTCAAGATTGGGACATTTCGTTGTCAGAGCGATTTCGACACCGTCTTCGGGTGTATTTATCGTCTTCAGATTTGTTTCCACTGCACAACCCACTAAAACTAATTAATTTAACCTTTTGTATAAGGCATTTTGGTGAATGATAACGTTAAGGACATATGTTTTGTAAAAAAATAATAACTATTATATGGATGACTTATTTACAACTTTTAGGTATGATACCCAGAATTTTTTTTTTTAATTTAAAAAAAAAACAAAAACAATTTGGGATTCACCTTAGAACCGAATATTGAGAGCCACTGAGTTACATTTACTTTATAAGATAACATTTAGTCATTTAGCTTACCTTCCTCGCAGTGTTGACCCCGATACCCAGCGTCACACTGAGCGCATTTTCCCGTTACAGCGTCACAAAAATGACCGGCGCAGCTGCTTGGACAGGGGGCAGCACAGTCATAGCCATAAGTCCCTGGATCACACACTGATGGAGGATCATGTCACGTGTTAGATGTGCGTACACACAATTACACGCGTGTGTACATTTATTATGATTTATATTAGAATACAGTAAATGAGGGTAGAGTAATTCAGTGTTATGGCAACCAGTTTAAGGACATGAGGGTAGAGTCATTCAGTGTTATAGCAAACAGTTTAATATTAAAATATTTAATAATGAAATATATATTTTTTTAACGTTCTCAAGCGTTCTATAAATTGATATCTAAGTAATATGATTAAATGTCTGCAAACGTATGCAGTAACTTATCAGTTTAATGTAGCTCGCGAAGCTAAACCTGTGTATGTATTTTTGTTTGGAAATTGTTCATATAAAACCACAAACCCTTATCCATATGTGGATAGTTATTTTTTTTAAATTGATTAGTTTACATTTCAGTTAAAAATGTCAACCGACAACTTGAATGAGGTGCAAAAACTATCCGCTAAATGAGTCACGAAAAATTGAAACACACTGTGTTGAAAAGATTGTAATTTATTGATTCAGTGAAATATTGAAAGAAAAAAAAATGACTAAAATTGTCTACACAAAATTTTAGTGGTCAACCGGAAGGAGATGGGCTGAGAATTTCGGGAATTCTCAATGGCAAGATAGCCGTGTATGCATAGAAAAAAAGCTACATACATATCTTTTATATATATTTTGCTTCTGGTATGGCCTGCTTCCTTTTCGAAACCACTCCCCACTCCCCACTCCTCACCAAACTAGACGTTTTATATTAAATAGTACTGAGTGAAAAAAAAAAGGTGTCTTGCGTGACATGTGAACTCAGGTACAAAAAAAATTAATTTAGAGAAGGAGATTATTATATTCATCAATGAAGAGCCTCGGCTCTCTTGGACTGTCTGTTGGACCGTCTGTTGGACTGTCTGTAGGACCGTCAGTTGGACTATCTGTTGGACCGTCTGTTGGACTGTCTGTTGGACTGTCTGTTGGACTGTCTGTTGGACTGTCTGTTGGACTGTCTGTTGGACTGTCTGTTGTACTGTCTGTAGGACCGTCAGTTGGACTATCTGTTGGACAGTCTGTTGGACTGTCTGTTGGACTGTCTGTTGGGCTGTCTATTGGACTGTCTGTTGGATCGTCTGTTGGACTGTCTGTAGGACTGTCTGTTCGACTGTCTGTTGGACTATCTGTTGGACCGTCTGTTGGACTGTCTGTTGGACTGTCTGTTGGACTGTCTGTTGTACTGTCTGTAGGACCGTCTGTTGGACTGTTTGCAGGTCCATTGTTTGAAGGCCAGCGGTAGGGTTTAGGACTGTCTGTTGGACTGTCTGTTGGACCATCTGTTGGACTGTCTGTTGGACCGTCAGTTGGACTGTCTGTTGGACTGTCTGTTGTACTGTCTGTAGGACCGTCTGTTGGACTGTTTGCAGGCCCATTGTTTGAAGGCCAGCGGTAGGGTTTAGGACTGTCTGTGGGGCTATTTCTCAAAATACCGACATTAACATTAATATCTGCTGAAGCGTGACTGAGCAGGACGCTCTTGCACGACCGCTCACGAAGAGCAGCGTCCAAGACCCCGGTCCGACGTATTCGTAACCGTTAAAGTCAAAAACCAGGATCAGGGACCCCCCGGTTGATAAGCAACGGACGCGGATTGGCCTGGCTCGTGAAACCCCCCACGTGTCCGGGGGCCACTTGTACAAATTGGCCCGGTTGTGAAACCGACCAGGCCGGGCTCTCAAAATACCCGCAACCGGTGTAACAAAAAACGACAACAACTGCTGCACTCGGTACAGCCCTAGTCTTTCATACCAGTGTTGGAACAACTCACCCTCGGTACAGCCCTAGTCTTTCATACCAGTGTTGGAACAACTCACCCTCGGTACAGCCCTAGTCTTTCATACCAGTGTTGGAACAACTCACCCTCGGTACAGCCCTAGTCTTTCATACCAGTGTTGGAACAACTCACCCTCGGTACAGCCCTAGTCTTTCATACCAGTGTTGGAACAACTCACCCTCGGTACAGCCCTAGTCTTTCATACCAGTGTTGGAACAACTCACCCTCGGTACAGCCCTAGTCTTTCATACCAGTGTTGGAACAACTCACCCTCGGTACAGCCCTAGTCTTTCATACCAGTGTTGGAACAACTCACCCTCGGTACAGCCCTAGTCTTTCATACCAGTGTTGGAACAACTCACCCTCGGTACAGCCCTAGTCTTTCCTACCAGTGTTGGAACAACTCACCCTCGGTACAGCCCTAGTCTTTCCTACCAGTGTTGGAACAACTCACCCTCGGTACACGCTGGTGGCTGATATCCGGCCGAGCAGCCGGCGTTGCACAGACCAGTCACAGTGTCGCACTCCCCGTCCAGGCAGTTCCCTTCACATCTTCGGGTACAGTTGTCTCCCCAGGTGCCGGGGTCACACGCTTGAGTTGTGAAACAATAAGTTATGCAATCAAGATGTCCGTCGTGATGACAACAATCATTTCTTGTTTTTTTTTTTTTGGTGGGATGGTGTCTTAATGTTCAGCTGAGTGAGTTAGTTGACACAGAGTATCGTTGTTTCACTTTGGAATGCTAACCCTGCTACCGCATGCAACGCCGGCCTTAGGTAAAATTTCGCCCTGTGTCAAGCACCCGTTCGGCGCCCCCCCCCCCTTCCCTGTCCCTGTATGGCTCCGCTCTTTTTCCGATCACGACGTAGGCTTTGGAACAGGAGTTATCATGCCATACCTTTAGCTAACAATACGCATTATAACATGCACCTTAGTTTAAAATGTTTAGTTTTTCTACGGTACTTTACTCTTCACTGTAATAAACTAAGGTAATTTAAATATTTACTGAACGCCCCTATGGCCACGGCGCCCTGCGCGAGGGCACAGGTCACACACCCTAAAGGCCGGCGTTGACGCAGGATTGTAATATGACACTAAAAGATGACGCAAATATTAACAGGGGAGACACTGTTAGGGACAGGGTATACAAACATTTACTTTAAGGGGATTATAAACCGGATCAGAAAAAAAAAGGGGGGGGGGTTATCTTGGTAATGTATAAATTAAACAACGGTGGTGGCGTTGTAAGAGTAACAACAAATGGTTAAATATATGTTCAAAATCATTAGAAAACCCTTTATATTAGCATCGCTTTTGTTCGTTTGCTTGTGGCAACGTAATCGGAGGTCTAAATGATCGACTTCCCGTCATCCTATCGAGCTGAAGCTTGGCACATAGTCTCGTTCCCGATGCCAAAACAATCGATCAAACGTCCAGCCTCGTACCCCACCAAACATCATTTTTTTTCCTCCTGTTTTTCAAACACGTGTGTGTGTGGGGTTGGGGGGAATGATATTGCTTTGTTAAATGGGTGCATGTTTTGGTGTGGAGATTAATTGTTTAGCTGTTCCTGTGTGCTTTGTATTTGTGACGTATTTTGGTTTAAATATATCGTTAGTCTATTAGGTTTTACACACAATAAGTTTGATAAAAAAACAAAAACATTCCCCTAGCAAAAATTAGTTGCCATGAAAATCATTCCCATACCAAAAATCATTTGCTTCAATCACATAAATGAGAATTGATAATAAGCTTAAAGATTAGCATACCCTTGTAGTTCCACAAGATTATGTCTTAAGAAGTGATAGCTAGCTTAAGTATTAGCATACCCTTGTAGTTTCACATGATTATGTCTTAAGAAGTGATAGCTAGCTTAAGTATTAGCATACCCTTGTATTTACACGTGATTATGTCTTAAGAATTGACAGCCAGCCCCAGATTATCTTGTTTCATTATTTTCTTCTCAACACACCTGAGCTTTCAACTCACGCAGCGGATCACTTACGGTAGAAGCAGGTTGGCAGCTTGAAGCCAGTCTCACATCCCAGGTCGCATTCCCCACTGACGCGGTCACATGACTTGTTCACACATTTCTCAGAACATTGAAAGGAGCAGCCAGGTCCCCACATTCGAGCTCCGCATTCTTTAAAAAGGTGATGAGCTAATTATGTTGATGCATTTAATACTGTTGTATAATAACACAAAAATGTTTCTTTCCAAGTAAAATTTAACAAAATTTAAAAAAAAAAAAAAAAGATAGAATATTATAAGAAAAGGATAATTTAAGGACAAAAGGTAATGAGCTAATTATGTTGATTCATTTAATACTGTTGTAAAATAACAAAAAAATGTTTCTTTCCAAGTAAAAATTAAAAAAATTTAAAAAAAAAAAAAAAAAAGATAGAATATTATAAGACAAGGATAATTTAAGGACCTCTGCTGAATATAAAATCTTACGGGACCTTCGTCGCATTTCTTTCCAAAGTATCCCTCACGACAAGCGTAACAACGACCGGAAACTGGGTCACAGGTGCTGTTGAAGCAATACTCTGGACAGGTCTTTGTACAGTTGTTGCCATAGAAACCCGTGCTACACCCTTGGGGGGGGGGAGAGGGAGGGGTAGAAATATAGAGTTAGGATACAGATCACAGGTCCAAGTGCGTAGGACTAATCTAGGAACTTAGAATGTTTACCCCCCACCCTAAAAAAAGAGTACATTTAGACCAAACTGCATAGATCCATTAGCGAAGTGAACAAGAAAGATGGTTTTGTTGTTTTGAAGTTCATTGAAAACGATGTTGCATAAATAAATAAATAAAATAATAATAATTTAATAAACAATCATAACATGATCCCGCTGTTCTGCCATCCGACCCTTCTGTTCTGACATCTGATCCCACTGTTCTGCCATCCGACCACATTGTTCTGCCATCTGACCCCACTGTTCTGTCCTCTGACCCCCCTGTTCTGTCCTCTGACCCTACTGTTCTGCCATCTGATCCAACTGTTCTGCCATCTGACCCCACTGCTCTGACATCTGACCCCACTGTTCTACATCTGACCCCCACTGCTCTGCCATCTGACCCCCACAGTTCTTCCATCTGGCCCCAATGTTACAGACTAACCATACTGTTGTTGCTGTCAGTTTTGTTTGTCGACATGACAGTCTAATCTACAAAGGCTCACATTGCTGACAATCTTGACCCATCCGTCCAATGGCACACCCCTTGTCACACTGGCCAGTCACCTTATCACAAGACCCGCCTGAGCAGTGGTCACATGACCTGAGACAGTTCAACCCCCACCAACCGACATCACATCCTGAAAATGACAACAAGGCCATGATTGACAAGCTCATTATTATAAGTGTAAGCTGTGTTTTTGTGTGCGGCCCTTGCTGTAGGTTGTTTTCTCTCTAAACACAGGGTTTCCACATGACAGGGTCGATAACTGAGTTATTAAAAAAACTACACTCCGATTTGGCAACTTACTCCCTTTTATTAAAAAAATGTGGAGCAAAATAATGCAAAATGATGGAGTACAACAGACTCTTATCAAATGATGTTTAATCGGTTGGGCGTACAGATGGTAATATAATATTAATATATATTGTTTAATATATGAAATAGTAGAAGATATAACCCGGTTTTACCGGGGCTAGAATGGAAGGCACAATGCGCTACTTTCTACATGATATTGTGAAGACTGTGGCTACATTTTTAATGCTCATCACATATACAACCATCACCCCAAAAAAAAAACAAAAAACAAACAAACAAAAAATTTAATCTTTCAAAATTTCTTTCCAATGGAATGTAAACATAAAATTGTAAAATACATGGTTAAAAATTTTATTGTAAATTATCTATAACCAATTTTCAAGCAAACTTGAAAAATTTAGCTTGATCATCAGCATTTTCTTTTTATAACATTTTTTTTTTTTTTAAATTAAGTTTCAAAAAGAGTAGAAAATAAATAAATAGTTAAATTAAATTCAAAGAGCTCATCCCAGAGAAAACTAAAAAAAAAATATTTTTTCTAATTATTTTTTTTCCACTCCAATTTTTTGAATAATTTATTTCGTAACTGCGTGAACAAATAAAAATGTGCAACCATTTCCGTTCCTCTCAATAAGATATTAAACTGCCGGTAGAATGATTTAATTAAACAGACGATTGCCCCCCAACCCATTGCACACCCCCTCAAAAAAAAAAATTCTCGGAACACTGATTACGATAAAATTTCGTTTTAAAATCTTGAATTACTATTCTATTTATACAAGACAGGAAAGGCGAAACGTGTCTTGATTAAACTATCTCAGACGATATCCTATATGATCATTACCATTTTTGCAAGAAGGGGGTTTCAACCCGATGCATCCAATGTCGCATTGGCCTGTTGTAGCGTTACAGCTTTGGTTGACACATCTGTCGTCACACGGTGCGGTGCAGTTCGGACCCCAGACACCGACCTCACACTCTGTGGAAGTTGACAAGAGAGATATAAACAAGATATAAACAAGATATAAACAAGATAATGAGGCTATTTATTTATTTCAAACATTGAAGAGTTGCAAAAATGTAGGCGAGGCCCACGCCAGGTTTGAAGCCAAATATCCATTCAACATTTTTAAGAGCCCCCCCACCCCCAACCCCCCCCCCTCCAAAAAAAAAATCCATGTTGTGAATTTATAACGGTTACATCCCTAATCACGGACGTGCTGAATTAGATGTGAAGTAATTCGTAGTTTATAAATGAAAATTTTACATGTGAATATATTAACATGTAAGAAATGGAAGAAAAACTTTCATTATGAACACCCCCCCCCCCCACACACACACACACACGCAAATAAAACAAAGCTATTACAGATATCATAATTATTTTAACAACACCATCAAAACGGTTCAGTGTGAATTTATACAACAACAAATTTTACTTGTATGTTTAAATTAATAATGCGAAATTTAAATTTAATGTAGGAACGTAGTAATTCACAGTGCAAAGTCACACAATAAAAATCTGGTACAAGAACTTCCACATTGGATGTTGGTGTAAGAAGATGTTTCCTCTGACCTACGTACAACTGTAGGCAAAATTCATCCAAATGTATAAGCAACATTTTGATGTACGAGACGACAGACTGGTTGTTTTTGTTTACATGGGACTCAACATTTAAGTTTCTATTATGATCCAACAATTTGACCAACATCTTTCCTTAATTGACAATGAACCATCTGGTAATTAAGGGTAATTTTAATATATTAATGTAATTTTATGTGCTTTAATTGGTTGTCTAATGATTTTGTTTCTCTTATTCTTTTTTTTTTTTTAAATGTGAATATTTTAATTTTATAGTTTGTAGTACCACAGCTAACACAAAGAACACTAACATGCTGTGTCCAGCTGCGTGTGTCTTTAATGAGGTGTTTACAAGCAAGATCACATGGCCTCACATTTCACTCAAGAAACCCTGGTCTCTCGCATTGACAAGAAAAAGGCCACAAACTAACAATACAACACTCACAACAGCCAGTGCACTGTTCTTTCTATCTTAATGTGCACACCAAACGATGGTACTCACAAGCTTACCTCTGTCACACCTTGGTCCTTTGTAGTTGTCCATACATTCGTAATAGCACCGACCCGTAATGTCATCACATTGGTTAGCGATGCAGTTAATGCCACACACATCCTGGCAGTCAACGCCCCAGTGATTTGGAGAGCACCCTGTGTGTTGGAAGGGGTGTCATAATGATTTAGACATCCAATGTCCCAAGACATCTGGTTTATATGCAAATTTAGTGATCGTGAGCTCGTGGTTAATCTGATCAGCGATCTCCAAACAAATTAAACAGTAAAACGCGATCATGAAACACAAACTAAATGACCGAAGCGAAACTCACTCAGTCTGCAACCTTCACCGTGGTAGCCAGGGGCACAACCGGAGGTACAGCCCCCCGTGCTGACGAAACACGGCTCCTCTTTCGTGGCACAGTTGCAGGACAGCTCACAGTCGCGGCCATACTTGCCAGTTGGACAGACTGAGTCTGCAGAAGATAAACATTAGAAAAATGTTGTATACATCATTTATTCGGGAGCAAAAATAATGTAAACATATTAGATGGGGGAAATGAAAAGGCAGAGAAAATGTTTGAACGATTTAAAAAAGTAAATATGGACATTTTGTTGTTGCAGCACAATGCTGGAAACATCAATATTGTTCTCCAATCTTGAAAATCTGTTCTTACATGATGCTTCCTCTTTAACTCTTCCTTCCAGTTTAATCTCCCAAAGCCTTATTTCTTCCTGACTCCTCCGTAAGAGCTATTTCATTAAATAAAACTGTACCGTGTTACGTCACGAACCTCCATATATGGCCACGCCTCTTATATTCGTGTGCGGAGCATTGATGAGCTGGGCCACTCTTATTCTCACGGCGGCAACGGGCTCCCTGAGTCTTGGGGACAGTATGCTGTAGCTGAACTGGTCCTTGTAGTTCTCCTGGGTGAAGACGATCGTCCTGTTCACCGAGTAACTCGTCAGCACGAAGCCAACAAACCTTTTCGCTTCCTCATCTGAAGGTTCAGTGGCTGCTGAAAGGTTGGTTTTTTTTACAAAAAAAGTTATAATAACTGTGGTTTTTAATTCCATTAACCTTCAGTTATATATATATATATATATATATATATATATATATAATATATATATTTATATAAGAATCAGCTAGGCTGACCGTAACGCCAAAGAGACAAAAAGATGTATATACGTTCTGATGCTTAAAAACACTGATAGTGATTTTCTATTATTTTTACGGAAATCGAATAAATTTGAATGCGCAAAANGTTTTTTTTATAAAAAAAGTTATAATAACTGTGTTTTTTAATTTCATTAACCTTCAGTTATATATATATATATATATATATATATATATATATATAATATATATATTTATATAAGAATCAGCTAGGCTGACCGTAACGCCAAAGAGACGAAAAGATGTAGATACGTTCTGATGCTTAAAAACACTGATAGTGATTTTCTATTATTTTTACGGAAATCGAATAAATTTGAATGCGCAAAAAATGAAATGTATCGCTTTTATTTTAGTAAATGTTTAAATTTTTTCATGTTATAAATTACAAATACATTTAAAATTACATAAATGATCTATTTTAAGCAGTTTATCCGAGTTTGAAAGGTTTCGCATTATTTTGTATTACTTAATAGAATCGTGCGTTCAAAAAGAAATTTGACTAAAATTTTAACGTGTGAACTGAAAAAAAGAGTCGACCAAATTTCCGTTCGATCAAATTACCGTCGATCAATTTACCGTCGACGAAATTTCTTTCGATCAAATTTCCAGTAACCATATTCCTATATATATCTATATAGTATCTTCATAGGAATGTCCCGTATCTGAAAGTAAGCTCTCTTTGGCCGTGGTAGATGCAAGGGGAAAGGCATGGGGTCAAGTGCACCCTTTTTGCTGCTCTTTGATGGTGTCAAGTGCACCCTTGCCACGGCTTCTTGGTGTATCCCCGTCCTCCCTTTCAATTACTATCATTTCGTCTGCCATTTGTTTGAAATAAAATCTATTTGTTGAGCCGGCGTCATGTTTTTTGTATTTTTTTTTGTATCGCAAATAATTATTTTTGACTGGACGGCCTCGCTTCGTAATCACGTAGCTCTTTTAAATATACACACCTCAGTGAGAGGCATAGCGATTGAGTGGGGGGGGGGGCGGGCCAGGGGGGGACAAATGTCCCCGGGCGCAAGCTAGTTAGGGGCGCCAAAGTGTGATTTGATATTATATTATTGGTAAAAATAATGGGTTTGAGAGTTGAAAAAAAAGAAAAGGGGGCGCTTTAAAATGGATCTTGTTCCCGGGCGCGAATCTTGTCCCCGGGCGCCAAACACCCTCGCTACGCCACTGACCTCAGTATAGTCTGAGCCTCGACAGATTTCTTCATAAATTAGTAACGTAAATCCTAAGGGAAATTAGCATTTATAAAAAAAATAAATCCAATAATATGTTTTGTTTTGTTTTTTTAAAATAGGAATGTACGTACGTCTGTTGTGGAACACGTATCTGTCGATGCTCGCAGGCGTCTCGAAGCTCACCTGCCAGCTCGGCAGCGCCCTCCTCAAGCTGTGGGAATACGTCGTCTGATCCCCGTTCATCGTGCGGTAGGTGTACGTCGTGCCATCGGGGGCCCAGGAGACAGTCGTTGTGTTTTGCCTGAAGGCAATGTTTCGGCCTGGTCGCGAAAAATGATAAAAATGGTTTCTTTCTATTGTTGAGCCCTGTCCCTTGTTACAAGAAGTCGTGTGTTGTTGAGAATAAATTTTACCAACAGAAAAGGGGGGGGGGGAGTTATATGACTCAGGTGGGAAATAGTTAAACATCTTAATAGGAAGGAGAAATCGTTAAATTCAAAATAGAAACTAACGCGAGAGTTAAATTTTAACACACACAAAGAAAGATCCCCACGTTCAAAGGTTATATAATCTGATGCCTTGTGCACTAGGCGCATTTATGTTAAGCCAGGTATTAAATTCTTTAAATAATATCTAAATGTGTTTGTTTCATATGGAGCTTTTAAAATATCTTTTTTTACATTTACAAAGCCTTTAGGAATAAATATTCAAGGGAGATAGCTTACCACTTTTAAAGAACTATTCAAAGTTCAAAGTTCACTTGTACTATATTCCTCCGCCCACACTATATCTACGACCACGTGATCTAATTAAAACAAACTGGTTTATTATAATACATAAAAGCTTAGCTTTCAACAGACCCCCCCCCCCCCNGGCCGTCGAACTCGTTGTTATTTTGACGCCTGGTGTTTGTTCTGCAGTCAAGCGAATCGAGTCACCCAAGCCACCAACTTCTAATGCCCCACAGATTTCGTTGATGAATACTTTCAATTTTTAGAAAAAATATATATAAGAAAAAACAAAGAAACTAATTTGGCACACTGTCAGTTCGTGTTGTTATTATCTGACCCACTTTTCCATGGAGGAACACAGGCCCCTGCCTTAACCCGTGTGTTCTAATCTGTGGGTGGCTCAATGATGGTCTCATGGTCTCGAGTGGGATGAGTGGGTCACATTCAAACTGTCGCGTGCTCACTCGAGTGTGGGCGGTGCAACGACATTGGGTTCAGATATTTTGTTCAGATAAGTGCCCTGTGTGTTGAACAACAATTTACTCTGAACCTTGGAGCTGAGTGGTTTTTTTTTTTGTTGTATCTCTGTGTTTTTTGCTTGTTGGTCACTTTTAATTTTGGGTGAACACTGTACGTCTATAAATAGGTATGGCTCCGCCACTGGGACAGAATGTTCATTATTTTGTTGTTATATCTTGGGACTAGATCAGTTTCACTGCAACAAAAAGCATACATATAACAACACCACCAGCGATAGATACAGACACAGCAATAATACCATGCTCATAACCATAGCGATAACCAAAGAAACACCACCGTTGCCATGACCATAACTATCGATGCATGCGTACCCCCGCGAACTTACACTCAACAACACCGCCAGCGATAGATGCAGACACAGCAGTATTACCATGCTCATAACCATAGAGGTGTATGCGTACCACCGCTAACTTACACTCAACAACACTACCAGCAATTACAAAGAAAGACACGCCACCATTACCATGACCATTGAGATGTATGCGTACCACCGCTAACTTACACTCAACAACACTACCAGAAATTACAAAAAAAGACAGGCCACCATTACCATGACCATTGAGATGTATGCGTACCACCGCTAACTTACACTCAACAACATTACCAGCGATAGACAAAGAAACACCACCGTGACCATGGACCATAACCATAGAGATGTATGCGTACCATCGCTTGCGTACTCTCAACAACACCGCCCGCGATAGACAACGACACAGCACCATTACCATGGACCATAACCACAGAGATGTAATGCGTACCACCGCTGACGTATAGCGAGCAGAGGGACTTGATCGATTTCCCCGTGAGCGTCATTCGTATGAACGGCTCCTCAACGTCACAGTAAACATCCAGAGACGAGTTGTTCGGCGCTGACGTCCTTTGGTTGACGCATCCAACTTGAGTGTACCGTGAGGTCAGAAACGTGATGCTCAGCTTCGACTGTCGATCTGAGTTGGATAGAATTGTCATTTTTAGAATCGCTACACCATAAACAACGGATTTTTTTTTTTTTAAATATAGTACACTTTTGTAATCTCTCACCATATACATCATATCCAAGACTCATTATGGGGTGTACGGACAGTTATTTACCCAAGTCTTTTCCCTGTATCCTGAGCCAGGTGAAGGGGAAAAACATTCCCCATGTCAGTATGACCGATTCGGTGTTGTGGAGGCAAGTGTCCTGGTTGTTGTCCGCTATGATGTCGTGGGGCTGCCGAGGCTGTATCTCAACTACTGCAGCCTTGCTGACCAGATCGTCTGGTTGAAGTAGAAACATGGCAAATGATTCGAGTGAATTTTCTCTGGCATTTAAGGGGGATATGGTTAGTTGTAATATGACGAGGGTGTAAGGCTAACTATAAATTACTAATATATATAGTTCCAAAATTATTATGCCTAAATTTGTGTCCTAAATAGTAAATAAATACACCTGTATGCACAGTCGGCTACCGTCTATGGGAAATAATTACCAGAGAAAGAGAAAACAAGAGAGAGAGAGAGAGAGAGAGAGGGGGGGAGACAGACAGAGAGAGAGAGAGAGACGAAAAAGAGAGAGAGATAAAGAGAGGGGAGAAAGAGAAAGGGGGGAATAGAGGGATAGAGAGAAAAAAATTGTCTAATATTAAAAGACTTGAAAAGAAAAATTTAAAAATTCCTATATTTCCGATAAGTGAGATTTGGTCCACTTCACAAGAAAAAATTCCTCTAAGACTGAGGACGAGAGGAATCAAGCCAGAAACAACGAAGATGAAACTTAACAGTGATCAATAACTTGATTAACCAGCTAGCCTAAAAAAACATACTCAGGCCCGACTCCGTACTTTCGGAGACCCCACTGACAATTTTCGGTTTTGTGCCCCTTACATTCAAAGTTGATAATTCTCCTTTACATCGAAACTTTGAGAACCTTTAATATGCAAAGGACCCAAGCGATGGTTCTGATTGTACCGTTGACCACACACTGAAATCATGGATGTGACCAACTTAAGACACGCACTATACCACACAATAACTTTGAATAACCAGCTATAACTATTTACAAACTGACCGTACTGGCATCCCGGGCCGAACCATCCTTTCTGACACGAGTACCCGTCCCAGCAGTCTCCTTGGAAACCACACTTGAGATCTACACAGCGGCACTGGTATTGATTGTAGGGCCCAAAACTTGTGTAGTGGGTGGTTTCGCCTATATAATGAGATCAACATGGTGTGAAAGTTAAGACATGTTTGATAGCTTGCCTCCAACACAATGTTTGATAGCTTGCCTCCAACACAATGTTTGATAGCTTGCCTCCAACACAATGTTTGATAGCTTGCCTCCAACACAATGTTTGATAGCTTGCCTCCAACACAATGTTTGATAGCTTGCCTCCAACACAATGTTTGATAGCTTGCCCCCAACACAATGTTTGATAGCTTGCCCCCAACACAATGTTTGATAGCTTTGTGGTGTTGAATAAATCTTGAGCTATACATTAGTACAAGCAAGATTCATTTTAAAAACAAGACAAACAGCATTAGTTTCTTCATTGATCTGAATCACTTACTTTTGATCTTAGTGTATTATTCATACTATACACACGATTACATATGGCGGTTTTGAAAGTTTTCAAAAAAAAAAAAAAAATGAAAGGGTATTTAGGGCTAAAGAATCAAAAGGAATTCAGTCGCCAACAAGTTACATAGAAAAAATAAGAAAGGTCACCAAAGAGAAATGTTCTTACCGTATTCAGAAAAATCCGAGAGAACACATCCAGGCACAAGAAAGTTTAACAGCAAGGCAACAAGAAGAGCCATTATGTCACTTTCGAAACGTCACATCAAATGTCCTCTGCTATCATTTAATAAATGTCACATATTTTGTACCTACTATTTCGATCTGAAAGTCAACTTACTGTGCCATGTTCTGGGCTTATCATTTTGGCAGGTACTTTCAACATGCCGGATTATTTCTGTATTCTAGATCACGTTCATCTGTCAGTTACATTATGACTTTGGGAATTTCAAATTGTCTACAGAAGTCATACTTTTAATTAGCCCTCTTCACTCAAGAACTAATATCATAACTATAGACCGGGCTGGTATTTTTGTACTAGAGAAATTTGAAAAAAAAAACACTTCATTTAAGTTTGATATATTTATTCTTGTCTCTGCTTTGTAAAATAAACGCATCTGGTGGGGAAACGCATAGCCGTTGCACACGTAGATGTGAAAGAGACAGTTTCTTAAACAGTAAAGGAACGCTTTGTCTTGTCGATGATGTTGCCCTAGTTTCGCGCGAAAATCTAAGTGGCTCTTGAAAGACGAATACACTTGCTAACCTAAACACAGGATAGCCGCTACTGGTTTAAAACCTGACGCTTATATTGGAGAACATTCGATGACACCTTATGATAGTGATTGTAAAACAGGAGTCGTTTCTATTGTGTCTACAAGGCCCATGGACACCCCCCCCCCCCGGCCATGGGTGCACTGGGCAGTTTCCGAAGGCATCAAACCTCTAGGGGACCTCACGTCCCTAGGACGCTTCTCACCTCTAGGAGTCGTCGCGCTTATAGGGAATTTCAAGCTTCTAGAGGTACTCACGCCTCTGATGAACCTCGCGCTTCTAGGACCACGATGCTGCCAAAATGTGTTAATGAATATTGAAATATCTTCTGGAACAACGCTTTTAAACGGAAATATATATAATTTTCAAACTCATTCATGGATGAACTAGCATAGTCAAATAAATAGTTTGAAATGTCCTGGATAGGGGCGTTACTTACCCCTTCCCCTTCCCTCGGCGCCCTCGATTTATGCTCCCTCCCAAAGTGTCAGTGGCGGCACATTTTGATATAAAACGGTGTTGGAAGCTAGTAATTACAATGATGTTCTTGATAGTACACAATTCAGAGTTTCCTTCAGTTTGGTATAATATATAGTTGGACTCTATAGATTACAGGGGCGAACTAAGCAGGGGCTGAAACACGATTTTTACAAAATAAGCACTAGATCTTGGTAATTGAAATGATTATCATGAACTTGAAAAAAAAATATATGATTTTCGTTTAGTTTAGATAGAGTTGGACTATGGGCAACCTTGGCCATAATGCTTTTCATAACATTACTTGTAAAGTAGGCTATCGAAAAGCTGTGCCCTGAGCAAAACCTTAAAATGTTGCCCCTCAATGATTTATAAAAAGTGTTACCCCGGGCGGACTAATATAAAGACGATTTTGGCACCCCCTCCCCCTTGTCGTTGTGAAGTTCAGACTATATTATCGTTTAATTTACTCTTAAGGTCATATTTTTTATATTATAGACGATTTTGGCACTCCCCCCCCCTCTGCTGTTGGCGCCAAACGCATTGGCGCCAAACGCAATGGCCCCTTTCGCCCCCTTCTTCGAACGCCTTAAGTATACGGAGTAATAGAGGGCCTAAGTGCATTGTTTTGCCCGGGCCCCCGTTGCTGTAAAGACGGCCCTAGGATCTCCTAGGATGGTTTTTGATAGAATTTCGCCCTCCATATTTTGCATCAAGTTTCGCTTCTCCTCAATCCTACTATTTGCTGTGCGAAATTTGCGGCTATCGGAAATTTGTCCGAAAGAGATTTGCTCAACGGAATATTGTTCGACGAAAGTTTGCGCGAACGGAAATTTATTTCAAACTAGTTTCTTTCGTTAAAAAAATTACGGATACGCCTTTTCGTTGACGAGGATCAGGATGTTAGAACTAGAAATTGGACACTCGTGTTGTGTATACTTTGTGTATTGTTTCGTTCTGGTAATTTAATACACTTACATAACTGTAAATATTCAAAGCTGATATGATGCAAGTACATGTAATGGTGTATGACTGTTAAAGAGGGATTGGTAGTGAACATCTGAGTTCTTTAAAACCGTATTCAAACAGTTACAAGTGAGTGGGTCAGAGAGTAAGGCTTTTTGTTCTTGGCCCCTGGCGAGTTTCGAGTGTCACACACCTCAAGTGCTCACACAGCGTTGGACACCACCACCAAACACAGTGTTTCGGTTAACCGTGCAACTGAAGTACAAGGTTCGTTGAAGATTTTGAATGCACACAATTTTAGAGCGATCACAGCAAGAGGCCAGAACAAGAGCTCCCCATTCCTAACCAAAGACAATCAGGGACTGGAACAAGCTTTCAAAAGGAACAGTAGGGGCGACAACACTGTACACAATTTGCGTCTATGGCCTCTGGACTTCCGACCCCCCAGTTCCTGATACCCCCGATGCGCAGCCCTTGCAACCAGTAAAATATCCTATTGAATACCAGGCACGGGAATAGCACGAATCCCCTCTACATAAACAGGAGCCAGAATGATCAATACATTTATCGTGGGTCCTTATGATATAGAAGAAGTTGTTTTGTTTTTTTGTTTTAATTTTACAATCGTAAAATCAACAAATGTCAATGACGTCATGGAAATAATTTTGCAAAGAATGACCAAAATCACCTAAGCAGATGTCACGGGCCCCACACGCCCTTCATAGGTCCCTAGCAAGTCATCGTCCCCAGTTAATAGCGAAATCAAATTTTTTTTCTCCATTTTTATTTTAAAGAGAACTTAAAACATGTTAATATAAGGCAGGAGTTATGTATCGATTTCATCTGCTACCTAGACAAATATTTGTAATACAGCAGTCGTGGATCTATTTCATCTGTTACCTAGACAAATATTTGTAATACAGCAGTCGTGGATCTATTTCATCTGTTACCTAGACAAATATTTGTAATACAGCAGTCGTGGATCTATTTCATCTGTTACCTAGACAAATATTTGTAATACAGCAGTCGTGGATCTATTTCATCTGTTACCTAGACAAATATTTATAATACAGCAGTCGTGGATCTATTTCATCTGTTACCTAGACAAATATTTGTAATACAGCAGTCGTGGATCTATTTCATCTGTTACCTAGACAAATATTTGTAATACAGCAGTCGTGGATCTATTTCATCTGTTACCTAGACAAATATTTGTAATACAGCAGTCGTGGATCTATTTCATCTGTTACCTAGACAAATATTTGTAATACAGCAGTCGTGGATCTATTTCATCTGTTACCTAGACAAATATTTGTAATACAGCAGTCGTGGATCTATTTCATCTGTTACCTAGACAAATATTTGTAATACAGCAGTCGTGGATCTATTTCATCTGTTACCTAGACAAATATTTGTAATACAGCAGTCGTGGATCTATTTCATCTGTTACCTAGACAAATATTTGTAATACAGCAGTCGTGGATCTATTTCATCTGTTACCTAGACAAATATTTGTAATACAGCAGTCGTGGATCTATTTCATCTGTTACCTAGACAAATATTTGTAATACAGCAGTCGTGGATCTATTTCATCTGTTACCTAGACAAATATTTGTAATACAGCAGTCGTGGATCTATTTCATCTGTTACCTAGACAAATATTTGTAATACAGCAGTCGTGGATCTATTTCATCTGTTACCTAGACAAATATTTGTAATACAGCAGTCGTGGATCTATTTCATCTGTTACCTAGACAAATATTTGTAATACAGCAGTCGTGGATCTATTTCATCTGTTACCTAGACAAATATTTGTAATACAGCAGTCGTGGATCTATTTCATCTGTTACCTAGACAAATATTTGTAATACAGCAGTCGTGGATCTATTTCATCTGTTACCTAGACAAATATTTGTAATACAGCAGTCTTGGATCTATTTCATCTGTTACCTAGACAAATATTTGTAATACAGCAGTCGTGGATCCATTTCATTATATAAAAATATAATATATATATTTATATAAAGAGTCGATTTTCAAAACGCGTTATCCCAAATTTTCGAAAAAACAAAATGAGATAACTGTACATTCTTGTAGAGCAAACCAGGCTTCTTTGGGGCATGTTAAAGTTTATCTACAAAACGCATTTTAATCCTATATTATTCTATGTCTAAAAATGATTTTATTTTCAAAACGTGGTGTGAATTTTTTTTTTTATTATCAAAATGCTATCTATATTTTCGGACCAATCCGTGTCATTGGCAAGCTATTCTGCGGCATTCTGCGCGTGCGCACTAAACATCACGACGCAAAACAACAACAGATACGGTGCATAACGACGGCCTGGATGAAAGAGTTGTTTGTCCTATAAAATCTCGAAAAAGAAAGTAAAAAAGCTCAACACGAGAAAAAGAACAATCATTTCGTCATTCAAGCGGAGGAAAGATTCCCTCGGTCACGTGTCATGGAGGAAAGTTCCCCTCGGTGACGTGTAATCACGATAAAGGGTTCTGCAAGGTGAGTTACCGGTAAATTTATTACAAACCCACTAAATTTCATTTTTCATTATTATTATTATGGTCATGGTCACTACACATCAGAAGTGTTAAGGAAATGACAATAAAAAGTTGCTTTACAGAGTTAGCTGTGTTATTTATTACACATTCAGTCTTTTACATGCAGATCCAGCCATGACAGAAGAAAGGGTGCTCAAGGACAGAAATAGTTGCCCTCTTATTTGAATGTAAATAAGAAGCATCAAATTTTTCCTGGAACAAAACCAAACCGCTATTGAAGATGATGCACACTCTGAATCAGACACTTCATTATTTTCTATTTTGTCGTTGCTATAAATTCAAATAAGGCGATTTTTGAATTGAAAATTATCTCATTTACTTTTGTTTACAATTCAGATTTATAAAAACAAATCATGCAAACTTATAGCCCTCTAAACATTACACTGCTACAGGGGACAGTAGCACTCTAAACATTACACTGCTACAGGGGACAGTAGCACTCTAAACATTACACTGTTACAGGGGACAGTAGCACTCTAAACATTACACTGCTACAGGGGACAGTAGCACTCTAAACATTACACTGTTACAGGGGACAGTAGCACTCTAAACATTACACTGTTACAGGGGACAGTAGCACTCTAAACATTACACTGTTAAAGGGGACTTTCCATCATTTATAATACTGTTCCGTTAAAATATATCAATGAAAACTTTAGTCATACACAATTATATAATGTATATGATACAATTTAATTTCATTTTGTTATGTAAGTGGTTTGTTATCTATAAACAACTTGAATTATTTGCTTCTGGGAATAATGTAATGCTGTCAAAATGGATATACAGCATTTCGTGTCTAAGTTACAGCTGGATACACAGCTTTTTGAAACGAAATAAGAAATTCAACCAAGTAAATAAATACATTTTAATCAACCTACATTTC